AATTCTCTGATGAATGATGGCTATATTTCTTATGGTCAGTGTGTACTCCAGGTTTTCATCTTCACATCTCTGGCTTGGTCTGAGTTGGCCATTCTCACAGTGATGTCTTATGACCGCTATGCAGCCATCTGCTTCCCACTACACTATGAGGTCATCATGAATCCTAGTAAGTGTCAGTGGGCTGTGATAGCTGTATGGCTAAGTGGAAGCATCTCTGGAATCTTGTACACATCAGCCACGTTCTCCATTACATTCTGTAAGGCCAAAATAATTCACCAGTTCTTCTGTGACGTCCCCCAGTTGCTAAAGCTCTCCTGTTCAAATAATTACCTTGGAGCGATTGGAGTGGAAGCTTTCATGTTTCTGATTGTATTCATCTGCTTCTCCTCCATTGTCATCTCCTATATCCACATCTTCTCCACAGTACTAAGAATGCCCTCTGATGAGGGCAGATCCAAGGCCTTCTCTACCTGCCTGCCCCACCTCTTTGTTGTCTCCTTTTATATCACCACAGGTACCTTTGAGTTTCTAAAACCGACTTCAGATTCTCCAACTGCTTTTGACCTTATGATCTCTATCTTTTATACTGTCATTCCGCCAATACTCAACCCTATTATATATGGTCTGAGGAATGAGGCCATGAAGGAAGCTTGCAGAAAGTTACGGTTGGGTGGACAATTCACCAGGAAAAAAACATTTTTATTCTGTTGTTGATGGCACATGTATATTATATTTGAGTAAATGTTAAATCTTGAATTTCTTCAAATATGTGGTATTGAGGAAAAGCAGCAATTCCTCCCCCACTACCTGTAGTATAATTGTGTATTATAAACACTGTCATTAGGGAAACTCTTCTTATAATTCCTACCCCTTTTTAGTAAATGAAATAATTTTGTTCATTGTTTCAAATGAAGTGATAATAACCAATTATAATCTTATAGTATAAACTCACTTCTTTCACATCTCTTCCAATACATACAGGCACAAAAATATACAGAGGCCTATCCGTAAACATGAACACCTGATGTGGTGCTGTAGGATAAGTGCTGGACTATAAACCTCACAGTCAGTGGTTTAAGCCCACCAGCTGCTCTTTGGAACCTTATACAGGGTCGCTATGAGTCGGAACTGACTTGACAATACTTAACAACAACAACCCATAAACATTAACATACTTTTATTTTTTATTCTGATAAGGAAATACTAGAACACAGCAGGAATTTAAAAGTGATGAATTGCCAAGAATTTCAACTAAAGAAAATATGAACTATTTTTATTTCAATTGTTTAATTCACATGTCCATTTTAATTTTTATCTTTATACATACCAATTTGTCACAAATCAAGAGATTAAATGTTTAATGTTTATTTTATACATGTTATTAATTTAATTAAACATTTTAAAATATTACAACTATAACTGTGTGTAGGGACAATAACTGGATGCTCGAAAATGGCCCCACTAATGTCAACTGAAGACAAGTGCTTTGTTGCTCCTTCTCCCTTTCCTTCCCCTTGAGCATAGATCTCTCACACTTCACTCCAGAGCTCTGTGTTCCCACAGAGCAGTCATTTATCTACAAAGGAGTAGCAGATAACTGGGCACCTGATTGCTTTATGGCTCCCTCTCTGAATTACCTCTGGAAATAAAACATTCCAAGTACCATTCCCCAGGTTCCTTGGAATGTGGGCCTTGTTTACCACCTAGTATAAACAGAGACTCTTAAGGCCCCTCCAGTACCCAAAATCTTGACTGCCCAGCCAGCATCCACGGTAGGCAGTTGTGCTAGTCCTGGTTAGTAGTTTCTATGTTGGCAAACCAGCTCTTTTATATGTTCTTCTGTAATAAACCAATGTCTCTCTGATTGATTCCTGGTTGTTGTTGTTGTTGTTGGCAACTATGCATGTAGAAGTCTTTTCCATTGTGGTACTAAACTTCAACATTGTGTTTCATAACAAAATATTTTTATCTCTTTTTTGTTTAGTTTTCTAAATAAACAGAATATATACAACAGTAAGTAAAAAAAAAAAGTATTGTTTAGCATTCCAGTTTATACATGCACTATTTTATACCAAGCAAAACATGTTTAAATGTGTCTCTGTGATCTGTAAATGCTGCAGACAAGTTCTCTTGTTATTACACTTCTCTTAGTCTCATTAGGGTACCTTTAAAAAATGGTTCAGTCAAAACCTTGACTTCCTAGGTGATCTGCAAAGCCATTTAAATTTAAAGCAGCAAGGTCAACACATAAGGTTATGGAAGCCATTATTAGCAGTTTCAAAGCAATAATTTCAATAGATTTTTTTCCAAAGAACACAGAAGGATCATGAGGTCTTCTATTAGAAAGAAGTTATAAGAAAATGGTAAAGTGCATTGATGAGAAAAAGGCCAGAAAAGTTGCACCAAGGTAACTTTCCCATCACTATAGTGTACTAGCCCAATCTTTGAGGGTAGCAAGGGCTGCCTTATGAGAATTTCATTGGAAGCCTTATCCCATCCACTCTATAGTCCTACTCTTGGCCCTTCAGACTTCTTTTTGTTTACAAAATTCAAAGAACATTTCAAAAGAACACAATCTGAGTCTCTTAAGGATATCAAAATTGCCGTTTTGACA